TGTGTTTAACAGGGTGGTGGGTTACTGTTTTCACTGATGATGAAAAAGTGTCTTTGACTTCCGGGTAATTGCAAAGGGTGGATGAAACTGATTGAAAGGGACTACAGAGTGATTCACTGGGGAGTTGGAAGCACGAAGGTATGCGTAAATGCACAAACCTACAGATTGACAGACTCGTATTGTAGGTACTCAGTCTCTCAGGTAAAGTGGTACAATGGACAGTGTGCTGGAATTTATTTTGCAGTCATGTTATGCTGGAAATACTGGACGTTAAATCTCTCTGGAAGCTTTGACTCATGGGAAACCCCAAAGTCCTGCAATGCAGATCTTTGTGTGTGACCATGGGAATCCTAATGTTTTAAAGGCGTTCGGTGCATAATAAAAAGTATTGAATCCAGATACCAAACCTTTCCCTCTGAAATATAACATTTTATTACTTGCACTAAACAAAAAAAGCTAAACTGAGAACAGTTCCTTAGAACTTAAAATAACCACTGAAGTGGGCAGAGGCTGCTGGTTGACTCACACCCTTAAGGCAAAACCCAACATCTTCTTTGGTTTGTGGGTGATCGCATTAAAGGTCCAGTGCGTAACATTTAGGAGGATCTATTGTCAGGATTTTATAATATTCAGAGATATGTTTTCATTAGTGTATAAGAAAATAAGAATCGTTGTGTTTTGTTACCTTAGAATGAGCCGGTCCTCTTCTATGGAGTCCGCCACGTCGAACCGCTATGTTTCTACAGTAGCCCAGAATGGACAAACCAAACACTGGCTGTGGAGTTTGTTCTACATGTGTCAAAGCCAGTTCTCATTACCAGGTCGTCAAATGCCAGAGGTGTCCTACACACTGCTCCTTTAACGTACAGAAACCATCCGTATATGTTGATAATGGAGTTTAATTCCACAGCCTAGCCCTACGAGATCACACCACAGACGAGGGTTTAACTTGTAGTACTCGTGGAGGCTTTCAATGAGTTCCAGTAATGTTTTGGAGAGGCATGAAATTGAATGAATTCAATTGTACTGGCTTTGGTCTCGTCCACCTCAATATCACTCCATGAAACCAACCCCACTGGCAATAGTGCTACTGTACTTACGTTTCAAAAAGCGCTTCAGATGCAGTGTGGAGCTGTGTGAGTCTGCTCTGTTCAGGTTATTGTAAAAATTGTTTCAACATTTCTGTGCTGTGTCATCGCAGTCTGAAACCAACCCCAGTAGCAACCAACGTTTCCACTAAAACCTCAATGAAAGCTCAAAGTGGCTCAATGAAAGCTCAGAGTGGTAGCCATTGTAGGAATCCCCCCTCTGACACATTTCTACCACTTTTGTCCGGCATTAGTGGTGGTAACAATTCTCTCTTGGTCTGTCCTGAGGGGGAGAAACACTGAGAACACTAAAAAACTGACTGTTCTTTTCATTATCAAAAGATGATACTCTTTGCACTGTAGTATTTCAGCTGCATACAGTACAGCCAACAGAGGTTACCCTGGCACTTTTCTTATTCTTAAAAATCAGATTCCTCCTGAATCTGTTTCTGTGTCGTGATCCCTGCTGCTGGTATCAAGGCTGTCCAGTGATTAGTCATCACTTGACTGTTGAACTGCAAATAAGTGAAAATGTGCCATTTCAGTGTTGAATCACAGGAACGTACGCTCTGTTGCCACTCAATTAACATGGCTTGAATTATTGTATTTCCTCCTATTTTTGTGGAAAGTTTCCAGCATGTGTAGATCTGTGGTGGTGATGTGTACTGTGTGTTCCTGCTTTTGTTGTTTTAGAAGATCTGGTTGTCAGAAGGCCATTGTGACCTGTTGATAGAAAGCTCTTACTAGACCCCCCTCCCTTCTCAGTTTCCCATTTCAGGACGTGAATCAGGAACAGACTGATTATGTCCATCTTAATAAAGCGTCAGTGGACACTGATGGCCTTGTTGAGCATAAAAACACTTGCGACATCTTTGAGCGGGCGCTTTTCTCTCCGTTACACCTTCTAAATGCATATTAGAGCAGGATTAAATGCAAAAAAAGTCCCTGTCAACAACAAGGCGGATACATTTAACAATGCACTGTCCGTTTCCATCCACACCAGTATTTCCTTATCCTTGTCTACAGGTCTCAAATTGAATACAAAGCATATGTTGTTCTTTATTATTTATATTATGGATTTGTCTCAGTTGTTAGTCGTGTGTGTGTGTGTGTGTGTGTGTGAGAGAATAGCCGTGTGTGTGTTTCAGTTACTGTTTTCAGAACACAAAGAGCCACAACTAAAAACACAGCAATAAAGTCAAATTTCAATTCAATTTTATTTGTATCGCACAAAATCATAACAGTTATCTCAGGGCTTTTTTTATATAAAGCAGGTGTAGACCGTACTCCCTTATACAATTATATACAGAGACTCCACAGTTTCCACCGTGAGCAAGCACACAGCGACAGCGGCAAGGAAAAAAGGCAGAAACCTTGAACAGACCCTGGCTCAACTATAAGCTTTATCAAAGAGCGTCGTCTTAAATGTGGAGAGGGTGTCTGCCTTCCGACAGCGGCTGAAGTTGCTTTTAATACTACGAGAGTTGCTGGAGGTTTGACCTTCTGTCTGTTGTTTCCCTCCAGACCTTCTTCTTTTTCTCTTTTCGTTCTTGAAGTGGAGTCATACAGCTCTGTGATGAGTGCCCTTTTTTTTATTGTTTAAACTGAAGAAGTATAAACTTGCTGTCATTCTGAACACACCTTAAAAGTTCTCCATTAACAGTCAGACAATACAAAAATAGAACAGAGAAATGGCTTCTCATCCACCTCCTCTTTCAGCTGGCAAATAAAGCCTCTCAGTGACCAACCGCAGACGACTGTAGTTGTTCTTGGATGCTTCCAGGAGTAACTGGAATGTGCAAAAAGGTTATTGATGGAGAACATTTGGCCAAGCAAACGGTCTCCTAATACGGGGTACAAAGATTAGCTGTTTTGAATAAATGATAGATGGAATAGAAATGAGGAAAATGCAAGCATAATTCCTGTTGGGATTTCAATATTTTCTACGTACAGGGGCAGCAGTAGCTCATTTCAAAGGGTGGTTGGTTGAAGTCCATAACAGACCACAATACGGAGGGTAGCTGTAGAGGTGCCAGTTCACCTGCAATGTGGCAGCCCATCACTCTCACATCTCTCCCCTCAACTGCAGGTCTATGGGTTGTGTGCGTAACTATAAAAATTTAAATGTCTTCTTTGTATTTTTCATATTTTTTGGATTTTTGCTTTTTGCAGTCTGAAATAGCCCGCATAATTATTATAGGTTGAATCACCTTCACCTGCTTTTTAGCCTTCAGCTTCACGAAACTTTACTAACAGCTGCATTGTTGGACGCCATAGTGTGTTTTCAGTGTTTGTCTCGTGTGCATTTCTTGAAGTAATATGAATGATGTCCTCTTGTGTTTACAGATGCAGTGAAGGGATATAAGATGAAAATACACAAGAAGGACAAGCAGCAGGTTTGTATTGCACAAACACACACACACACACACACACACACATACAAGCGGACATCAGAAAAGTAGGTCATTTATAAAAACCTCTATACACACAGCAGCTTTGATATTAAATAAAACATGATTTTTAAGCTTCAATCTGGGGTGTGTTTAGTGTGTAGTGTTTTAATAGCCCTTTTAGTAGCCCTTTAATACTATAACACAGTTTAACCCCAGATCCTGGGGTGTTCTGTGTTGCTGTTCAGACACATGAATGGAAGCTCCTCTAATATAGGACACTGGGAAATGACAAATGCTGTCTAGCCAGTATTTTCAATGGAGAGAGCGGCTGCACTCTCCTGGGCATTGACAGGAGGCACAAGTTATGGCGGCAGGAGTTTTATTGTACAGAATAGTGGCGACAAAGTTAATTTGTGCCTCTCTGATTCACATAGTTCTGTAATTTTGTCCACTTTGGGTTGTCCGCTGTAGTAAATAATCTCAAGCATGGCAGGAAATATGGACACTGGGTTCACATTCTGATGTAGTTTGTCTCTGTTGGATTATGTGCGGCTCTTCATCCCGGGTACTACCTCACACAAACTTTTGGTTCTTCCTGTGCATTTTGATCTGACAGCACCATAACTCCACCGTAACACTGTAGTATGTTATAGTTCTTAAGTCTTTTAGAACTAGAACTACATACTCCTCGGCTAGGAACAACTAGAAACGATAAAAAAGACAAATAGGATGGGCGCTGGATCAAAAAGATATCTAGCAGATTAGACACAGATAGATCCGCACACCAAGTAGCTCCTGTGAAGGATTTTGTATTGCGAGCGATGGTTCACCAGCCTTCATCTGTCAGGAACACTCCTGTATAAAAGCACCTGTATTAGGAAAAGACAGGTCTCATAGAACAGTGGTTGGCAGCCTGTCTGCTTAGGCCTAAAAGAACAATAATTGATAGAAATACAGTGTGAGGGCTCTGGGCCTGTTAACAGTATATAGCCTATAGTATACTGTGTTTTTGAGTTCTTGTCCCCCGTGTTGAATGTCATTAAAGGGATGACATCGCTGAGAGCTGCTTCCTGTCACTCATTCAGCACTGCTTGCCACAATATGTTATTTTCTGTTAATCTACACAAGTATTTGAAGACCCCCTGAAATTATCTGGCGAACCACTGTCATAGACGATTGTGGTGTGGTTGGAAATCCATTCAGAAATGACAATGCTAAAGTTAAAGAATTTCTGGCTGTGTCTTAAATCACTCCCTATTTGAGTGCAATGTTCACATTCTCTTTCTATATTTTTATTTGATTTGATTAATTCACGCAATGGAGCAATTGTGTGTTCATAGCATAAGCACGTACTTTTTGTTGAAAATTCAACATTGCTTAGCTTATCTTCAATGGACCTTTGAGTTGAATTACGCGACAACTCATCTGTCAGTGAAGATGTACAGTTATTAATTATGTTTTCAATATCACCTAATAAGGTGACAGTTTACCATAAAATTAATTGTATTCGTTCCTCCAAGTCCATAATAGTACAGAAAGTCTTCAGATAGAAGGACGTGCTGTATGTCTGAAGATATTCAATCATCTGCTCTCAGTCTCTGTTGCTCCAGAGCCTTGCTCCTCCCTCACAGCCAACAGAGGGTGCATAAATCGTCTGAAAAGCTTCTGTTACGCTTCCAGGTGTCCTCAAACCTTCTTGCTCACGATATCATAGAATTTTTTCTGTTCGAGGTATTTTAGTATTCTTTATTGCATTTCCATGACGGCTTGCTGTTTGTAATATTTATGAGTCAGGCTGAGCAGAGTGATGAGTCAGAGTTTTTCTAAGTGTGAGGTGACACAGCAGTCTCTCAGCTGAGCACGAGGCCTCCATACTGCAGTGATAGTGGACTAGCACCCTCATGACAGGAAAACATGTTTATTCACTGCTTCTCATCCTTATTTGGTGCTTTTTAAAAAACTTTATTATCCTCTTTATTTAATTCTTCCTGTTGTATTTGCTTCACGGTTTTGGAAGACACAAACTGTTTCTTATCAACACAACTCTAGTGAAATAATCTGTAATATTCTAATGTAAAGGAAAACAACTATATAACCAAGAGTAAGATAAGGAAGGTCTGTGAAGACCTTAAAATCTCCACCCTTCGTTTCTTCACCAGGAATGAATAAAACCCACAAAGAACCTCCCGAAGGACGTTTTTCTGATGCACAATCTGTCTTAACAAACGGCACTTTTGTACCAACGGAGCACATGATTTTCTTTTTTTTTTAATTTGTCTGGTGCATTACTTGACCGACTTTTACACTTGTGACTGATTTTACTTGTAATTTCATGTATTGAAATTTAACAGTTTTCAGCAAGTTTAAAAAGTTCAGCGTGGTGCTCCAAGTACCACGATGAGTTAGGTTACGCGATAAGCTTCCAAACTCTGACCAGTGTTTTTGAAAGCTGCTGCAGCTCTCAGTGCAGCAGTGTGATGTGGAGCAGAGACCACCTCAAATGTAAAGTTCCAGCAATTGTCAGATTCTTGATAAATTGAATGTCTACAAACAACAGGGGTGCCATCTGGTAGTGGTCTGTGATTATGTCATACCTGCCAAAGAGGTACCACATTTGCTATTTTATTTTGAAGCTTTCTTCTTTATGAATTATTTTATTGTCACAAGCAGAATGATAACCATAATGATTACTATGGGGGAAAAAAACATACAAAAAGAAAACCACCTAAGCAGCTTGTGACAACCTAAAACTTCAAGACAAACACATAAAACAAGACGGAAACTCCTATTTTTCAAACTCTTCGTGGTTGTTATTTTGCTGACTGACAGTTCATCCTGCTTTAAGATGCCATCTGTCTAGTTATGACTGAAAAGATGTTAAACTCGATGTTTTAGTCTTGCTAGCAGCATGGCTTTACGGAGGGAAATGTTGGTCTGTTGGTAAGTCGTCCACTGTGGTCCCGGCTGAAATAACGTTTCAAGGATTGTTTGGATGGATTGGCGTGACATTTTGAACATTCATGGTTCACCGGCTGCGCTGACTTTTCTTCTAATGCCACAAGTAGGTGGAGAGTGTTAGTGAGATATCTCGACAACTATTGGATGCCATGAAAATCCGTATTGATATTTATGGCGCCCAGAGGATGAAGTTTACCGGGTTTCAATAAGAGTCCATAAGACTTTAAAAAGATCAAATAGGCTAGGCCTGTCCTGTATTCTCTAGTGAAGCATCACGCTTTTAACCTGTTAACATGGGTGCCGAAGCGAAAAGCAAGAGGCTCTGCAACGTACATACTCTGCTCCCACAGGCGGTGTGTCCCGGGCATCAGAGCTGCTAGCATGGCTGTAGGCTCTTAGTCTTTCTTAGATCAAGTTGTCATTGCTGAAACTGGTTTAGGAAATTCGAAGCTCTTGATTTACACACAAGCTTTCTCATCTGCCCCCTGTTTAACAGTGGGTGGTGTTGTTGTTGGTCACTGCGTTTATAATCAGTATGTTTATTTGACTTTGAGAATAATTGATAGGGGCTTGAGAAGGATGAGCCCCTGAATCAATAATATATGAGGTAAAGTGAGTTTTTATGAGCTCGTACTTCACTATAATACCGGTTGTATTGAGCTTCATTATGTTAGCGGGGGGAGGTTTGGTTGCAGCCACAGTTTTGAACAATCCTAGGCCTGCAGTGCTACATCCAAACCCAATGTTTAAGATGGAGTTATAACAGAGCATGCTGGGGCAGAAGGGAAGAGTGGCGGCATCCTTTGTAGGTTAGTTTCAGCTTGTGTACAGAAGGGGAAGTGATGAGTTTCTCACTGATTCAGTGATGGTGTGTGTCTGGTATCTCATCTGCATTTCAAGTGGCCTTCAAGTTATCTGCCTGCCACATCTTAAATTGACACGGCGATAACGTCATCACGGCTGAGGAACTGATGTCTATCTCGAAATGTTTAGAGAAGGCTGTTCTACCATGTTGGAAGAATGACAACAAAGAAGAGATGGCGGTGTGGTCAACATAGTCTCCTGGCGTAAACATAACACTACTGCGGTGGTAGATTGCTCAGAAGGAGATAATAGGAATGTAAACTGACGTGGGTGATCCTACAGGTGTTCTCAGGGAGCAGACGGACAGACGGCCACAGGGTCTGGTGTGAAAAACGGCGTGGTAACTGTTGGTAACCACTCTCTGGACAATTAAACGCGCTGTGTTGGCGTTTCTGTCTTCCTGGAGGTGTCTGTGTTTGTCACTTTAGTTTGAAGTTTGTTTAACCTCTGTTAGTGTTGGGAACGCTTTGTGGGCTGTGATTGACATGGCTGACAGAACTGTACAGTACATTGTGCTGCACTGGACTGAGGAAAAGTGAAATAATGCTGACTTTTGTCTGCAGGTTGTGCATGATCTGAATGCAGTGCTTAAAAATGTTCTAGGTGTTTTGTGTGTAGTCTTTTTCCTAGTTAGTTGTAGGGCTGCAACAGTTACCTTATTATTGAGTAATATGTTTATTTATGTCTACGAATAATCGATGAGTCATGTAAAATGGCGAAAAATAGTGAAACATTTCCCAGAAACCAAAAAATCGAAACCTTTTTTTGATTAATAATTTTTTTTAAATGAACTATTTTTATTATCGATTAAGTTAGTTTTGAGTCATTTTTTAAGAAACAATGTCGGCCTTCTCAGGTGTGAATATTTTCTGCTTTCTATAGTCCTGAATGACATTACACTGAAGATCTTTGGGTTGTGGACAGAACAAGACATTTGAGGATGTCACCTTGGGCTTTAGGAAACAGAGATCAACATTTTTCACCATTTTCTGAACCATCAACTAATCTAATAATTGAGAAAATTATTGACAGATGAATTGATTGTAAAAAAGTGGTTAGCTGGAGCCCTAATTCAGTGTAAAATGATAATAAACAGAAAAGCAGCACATGCTCTCATTTTAGAATGTGTAACTTGGCATTTTTTTTGGCAGTTTCTTTGATGTAGGCAAATAAAGGTTTAA